AATTCAGGGAATCCAAAGAGAGGTCTGTGCCATGACAGACAGATGGAAGGTGGTGACAGGAGTCTAGGAGCAGACAGGATATGGGAGTCTAGGCAAACAGTGAGGTTAGCGATAAGCCTCAGAAGGACTGGTGGTCATAAAGAGGTTTTACTGGACTGGGGAGCAGAAGTAAGATTCCTGCCCTATGACTGTAAGTAAGAAATAAGATAAAGCTCTAGTCGTAGAAAAATTGGGGAAGTTATCGAGGAAGTGACTCAGGTACAGGGGTTCTGACAGGAATACAGCGATGGTAACTTGGGTGCATAGTGAGGGGCTTAGTCTGTCTGATAAAACAGAAGACCAAGCACCCTACCTGAAGTCAGAAGAAAATCAACTTCAGCTTGCCTTTCTGTGTTGTACACTTGAAATTCGCTAAGAGTAGACCTTAAGCATTCTCACCACACACAGACACACAGACACACACAGAGTAACTATGTGAGGTGTTGGGATTGTGGTAATCATTTCACAAAGTATACGTATGTCAAATTGTCACGTTGTACACTTTAAATATATACAATTTTATTTGTCAATTATACATCTATGAGGCTGAAAAATCAAAAATTTAAAATGTGGAAATTGGACTTTAAGCCTTTTATAACTTTTGAAATCCACTTTTATAAATCTAATTTACAACTTTTGAAATTAATAATTTCAATTAATTATTCTATAACTGGTAATGTATACACGTACTATCTAGCAATAAAATATGTGGTTCATCAGAATATCTAAATAACAAACTTTATATTTAGCTAATTTTCTTTTACTATTTCTTTTTCTATTTTCAGGGTGATTCTGGGGGACCTTTAGTTGTACAGGATCCTACAGATACCTGGTATCTCATTGGAATTGTGAGCTGGGGAGATAACTGTGGGCAAAAGAACAAACCTGGCGTCTACACAAACGTGGCTTATTACCGAAACTGGATTGCTTCAAAAACAGGCCTCTGATTCACTATAAAAGTTAAACATTGAGAGCTGTATGCAGGCCATACATGTATGAGAATCCAACTACTCAGTAGAATTAGTATAATGAAGTGAGATTAAATGACATGATTTATTTGAGTTACTTTAATCAACCAATAACCCATAGCCAATTTATAAGGGATTTAAGTTTGTAACGCAGTGAGTCGGTTGAGCCAGGCTTGAAACATACAGCAAATCCTCAGCTCTTGAAATCATGCAGACTGGAATGTAAAAGAGGAGCAATGCAAATTTTTGAGGATAATCCATGAGATTTTTAGAATGTCTTTGTGAGGAGCATCCCCTTAAGTGAGAAACTTTTTAAACTCTTGAAGAGTTCAAGAAACACTTATATAATTCCTATAATTTCTCCAGAGTTCACAAATACTTTGTCTTTTTCCGTATTCTTCCAGGTTTTCCAAAGAGACTTCCCACCATAAGAAATACATTTTCTACTTATAAACCCATTGGAGAGATCCTCGTAAAAAATTACATTTAGGAAACAAAGTATGGGAATAAATCAAGCCAGAGATCTTCTAACCTTTTTCTGTTGTGAAATCTCCAGAATTTTTTGGTGATTTTTTAACACACACAGATATCCCTACCCTCAGATATAACCAGAGAAAGCCTAAGTAATGAATGAGTACATATAGTAATTAGCTAATCAAAATTCTATTTTTGTTACAAAAATTTGGGAGAAGGTGATGGTAATTTCATGAGCAGTCCCAAAACAATAGCACAAAAATTTAAAATTTTATAGATGTATCTACATGCTTGGGCCAAGAGGAGGCAGCTTTGTACATTATCATTGTAAGGTTAAATGCCTGGAAAGAATTGAGAATTTGCTAATACATTGAGGGATCAACCAGCATTGTCTATCTAGATAGAAAGAAAAGATTTATTCCTTTGCATTGCTGCAGCCAAGTATCTCATAAGGTTTGTGGCAGTAGTCTGACCACTGCAACCATGAAACACTGGTTTTAAAATTTTTTTTTAATAAATATAAGTTTTGAGGACCTACTACACAAAACACATGAACAATATGATCTGAAAGAGCAAATGTACCCCTAAGTAAAGTGTCTCATGAAAACATTAGAAGGGTAAAGCTCATGTATTCCATGATACAATTACATCAAGGCTTGGTGGAAACTTACTGTGCATGACAATGCTGGCTAAACATCAGGTTTGTGGGCGAGGTGTCATTTACTCATGTATTCCAAATATAATTGAAACCATCGGAAAATTGAGTTACTTTATAATAATTTCCTCCCATGTGCTATTGATAAGTCATGAAAATAATCCTAAAATAATCCAAAAGAGATTTACAATTTATTCACCAAAAAAGTGATCCATAATCTTAGACTCATAGAATTTTAAAGCTTAGGAAAAACTATGCAAGTCACGCGGGCCAACAGACTTCTAGTTCAGAGACCTGAAGCCAGGAAATGTAAACGACTTGGTCAAGCTGTAGGTAGTTTGTATCCCCAGTGGGCCTAGAACCCAGGTACCAATTTCACATGCCCTTTTCCGTACAAGTATCTTTATGATTGCCTATATTTATAGAATCATCAGATCTGTAAAAATTTCAGCAAGTTCTATTGAATCTGTTTTAAATTAGGAAACTCTTAAGACAAGAATTTTAAGTGATATGATTCACTTAGGCAGCTGGCTGCAATTCTATGAACTCCAATATAAAATTGCTTCTTCATATACAAAAATAAACATAGGTATATAAATTATTCTATATTTTGGTGGTAGGATAAAATTCTGACTTCTAATGTTAAGATTCAAGAAATGATCTTAGAGTTAAACTTTGTATTTCTAACCTGTTTGTGCATTTTATTCTGGGTCTCATGTAAGCAAATACTGATAAATCATTTTAAATTTAATAATAAAGTTGGTGATCAGAGCACTTCACAAATAATATCACTGAGCCTGTCTTAGGCCAATAGCACGAATCTTTCTTTCAACCGCTGTTAAGAATTGCATTTCTGGGGCCAGCCCTGTGGCCAAGAGGTTAAGTTAGCATGCTCCACTTCTGTGGCCCAGGGTTCACTGGTTCAGATCCTGGGTGTCGACCTACTCCACTCATCAGCCATGCTGTGGTGGCATCCCACATACAAAGTAGAGGAAGATTGGCACAGATGTTAGCTCAGGGTTAATCTTCCTCAAGCAAATAAAAAGAGGAGGATTGGCAACAGCTATTAGCTCAGGGAAAATCTTCCTCAGACACACAAAAAAGAATTGTATTTCTTTTAAATAACTAGTTTGAGTCACTCTGAAATAGGATTTCTCAGCCTTGGTGCTTTTGACATTTTGGCCTGGATAATTCTTTGTTACGAGAGGCTGTTCTTTGAATTGTAGAATTTTTAGCAGCGCCCCTGACCTCTGCCTACTAGATGCCTGTAACATACTCCCTCCCCCCAAATTCTGATAACCAAACGTATCTGCAGACATTGGCAAATGTTTCCTAAGGGGTAAACCTGTCCCCTGTTGAGAACTACTGTTTTCAAAGAATTTGATCATTTTCAGAAATGAGAGATACCTCAGAATTATGACATTGAGTATTCAAAACTATAATCTCCTGATCAAACTGAACATTCACTATCATGTTCCTAAAAGAAATAGCACAATAAATGACTGATGCTTCAGTCAGTGGCCATTTCAAATACAGATTGACTTCCCCACACACAGTATGCTTGGAGGATCTCTCATGCCCTTGCCTAAACTAGAGTATATTCGTAGACTACCATAACCATTCCCATGAAGATAGCTTTTAATAAATAGAGCCGCTAGTAGAGTTTCTCTATCTTGACCCCAATCTACAGTTAGAAATGTTTTACATCACAGCTCCATAAGTACCTAATAAAATATACTTATATTAAAAGTTGAAATGAAGCTTCACAAAACAATACTTATCTTACTAAGTGTAATAAAACCCAATATTTTCTATTCGATTCGATTTCATTTTTAAAACATGTTTGCCTCATCAACTAAATTGATTTCACAATCTAATGGGTCATGACCTACAGTGCTTACAGCACATTTTGGAATAATGATCCACTATCATTAACACCTACTGTTATTATTTCACCTACTCCCACCACTCTCCCCACCTTCATCCTTCTCCTAATCTATCCATTTAGCAAACTGCAGCTAGATTGTGATGCTATTCAATGTTATTCCCATGCTCTCAAATCTTCACTGTTGTCCTCTTTGCCTGAAAAATAGAGTCTAAATTGGTGTTACCACAGCTTTTAAGGCCCTTCACAATCTGCCAACAACCAATAGAATTTTTGTTTCATTTATACTCAGTGCTCCTGTAACACTGAATATTACTCTCTATTTCCTGAACACATCCTCCCCTCTGGTCATGCAACGTTCTCTTCAACCTACAAGATCTAGCTCAACTATCACCTCTGCTGAGAAGAACTTTCCTATTGTCCCAGATAAAATTACTCTCCATCCCAAACCTCTTTGAAATATTTTGTTCTTTCTCTAAAGCACTTCTCATACTTTACTCTGTATTGCAGTCTTTATGTACATATATTATCTCTACAAATAGTTTAAGTTCCATAAAGCTAAGGGCTACTTTATTCATTTTTGTATCCCCCACAGTATTTAGAACAATATTCTATATACGTTATAATTAATGAAAGAATAAATTAACAGAGGCTAATTATGAGTCTTATAAAGGAAAGAAACTTTGGTTCTCAGTTGCTAACTGCTTCTCCCAGGTCACTTTCCTTTACTCAGCTTTCTGACCTGGTCCCGCTTTGCATGTTCTTGAACATTCCTGAAGAGCTCCTCTCTCCCTACATTGGAAGTCATCAAAATACAGTACAGCAGGTCCTTCATGCATGACAACCACCACCTCTAGAGCTGCAGGCGCTCCTCTAACTCAAAAGCTTTCCTCCATATTTCCTTAAATATGCACATCTCAAACCACAGAGATATTTGGAAATAAGGCCAAAAGGCAAATCATGGCCCTGTAACACTTACCATTCTCTTTTTTTCGTTGTTTTTATTTGATCTGCCAGAACTATCCTTTCTTTCTCTTTCTCCATAGACCTCACAAATCTGAGTATTTCCAAATGGCCACGTTAGACATCCATGACTATATTCTTCTGATTGAGATCCTTCCTTGTCAAATTTGCCTAATGAGAGACAATAGAGATAAAATTAAAAATCATGTACAATATATACTTTTTAAAAGCTCACAGAAATAAGGCAATTTGAATTTCAGAAAAAAATTATATTTGGTTCATAGAGCTTAATTATCTATATAAGACTGTTCTTTCATTTCCATTAGTAATCAAGAGTTAACTGGTAAACTAACTTTTTAAACTGGTTTGCTGTTTTCCATGTTCAAGGGCTTCTCTCACACCCTAAGTCACTAAATTAAATGAAGGGGAAAAAATCCTAAATGTCACACTGATCCAGAAATATACTAATGGAAATGATCTGGAGCTCACAGGCCAATAAAGGACTAAGAAACAGTGAGTGAGAATGTTAACACACTCCACATAAGTACATGCCTGGGAAATCCACGCTTGGATACAGATGCTACATTTTGGGCTCAGTAACTGAAAAACCACCTGCCCATAAACTGTGGTATTTATAACTAAAGTTAGAATTGCTGAGGTCATATATTGAAGAGAAGTGAAATCAAAAGTCATCTTACAGATATTTAGTCTGAAGATATTAGCAGTGGAAAGGGGAATCTAATTACAAATCCACTTAGATGGAAACAAGGAAAGACTGAAAAAGAATACATTCAAAGGAAAGTTTGGAAATTCAAAGCCTCATTTTATGGTAAAATGAGGCAGATTTTAATAGAGTGACAATATTATTTGCAAAAATTAGGATGGAAGAATTAAAGATACTATCAGGGGTTTATTTGTTGAAAGCCTCAAATGTGCTTGCTACGTTTCTAAGGTGAGAGATAGGTTACTACAATAATATCTTCCTCCACCCTGTACACTTCTCAGTACAAGAACACAGGGATTAGCTGGGAACCCCCTCACATATGTGGGTTTTCTCCCTCAGGTTAATGTGGCTGGGATAGGGAGGCATAAGCTAGAGTGGGGTCTTAGTGAATTGGGCATAGGACAGAACTGAGGAAGAAAGAAGAGATTTCAACAGATGTGGCAAGTGGAGCTGAAAGATAGAGATTAATATTAACAGTTGCCATCCCCTCAAAGGGGTACAGCAGACTTCTAGACCCTGGCACAGGTCAGAAGGACAGTCAGACAGTATATTCTATGCAGTAGTCTTCCCTAAGGATGGTGCACAGTCAATATATCATCTGATCTTGGTACCCCAGAGACTATGCTGGCGGTACTCCTGTATGGCCTATAATACATTTCCAAAGTGCTAAAAAGCTACCAGGGGAATGCAAAATGGTACAGCCACTTTGGAAGAAAGTTTGGTGGTTTCTTACAAAACTGAACATACTCTTACCACACAATCCAGCAACTGTGTTCCTTGATATCTACCCAAATAATTTGAAAATTTATGTCCACAGAAAAACATGCATTTGGATGTTTATAACAGCTTTATTCATAATTTCCAAAACTTGGAAGCAACCAAGATGTCCTTCAGTAGGTGAATGGATAAACAAACTGTGGTACATCCAGACAACGAAATATTACTCAGCAATAACAAGAAATGAGTTATTAAGCCATGAAAAGACACAGAGGAAACTTAAATACATATTACTAAGTGAAAGAAGTCAATCTGAAAGGCTACATACTGTATGAGTTCAACTATATGACATTCTGGAAAAGGCTAAACTATGGAAACAGTAAAAGGATCAGTAGTTGTCAGTGATTGTGGAGAAGGAGAGATCAATAGGTGAAGCATAAAGGATTATTAGGGCAGTGAAACTATTCTGTATGATACTATTATGGTTGTCAAAACCCACAGAATGTCAGTACCGAGAGTGAATCCTAATGTAAACTACAGACTTTGAGTGATAAAGATGTGTCAGTGTAGGTCCATCATTTGCAACAAATGTACCGCTCTTGTTTGGGATGCTGATAGTGGGGGAGGCTGTGTGTGTAGGGAGGTAGTTGTTATATGGGAGCTCTCTACTTCCTGCTAAATTTTGCCATAAACCTAAAATGTCTCTGAATATAAAGTCTATTAAAAAAATAAAAGCTACCAGAGACTCAGGGGCCCTTGGAGATGTGGTAGAAGATAGAGGAATATTGAGTTCTGGATGAAGTTAGTAAAAGAGAATTCTTCTGTAGTTGCAGAATTTCTTGTGGTTGAATTGTGTTGTTGGCAGAAAACATATAATAGGAGATTTTTCTAATTACAAGCTGAAACTCTTAATCAATAGGTTTAGGCAGAGAACAGTAACTAAAAGTATTTTTCTTAAATAAATTGCTGAATATTATGTAGCTTAAATTCTGTGGAAACTGAAGGTGATGGTGATGGTATGGACAGAGGGCCAGTGCAGGGACTAATAACCTCCTGAGGGTATTGGAGACATGCAGGGTAACGGTTAGTGGAGAAAATCAAATATAAAATGTAGGCTTTCGGATCAGAAAAAAACAAAACAAAAAACTCAGCAGTTCCTCAGATTATTCTAATCTGTCTTCAACCTTGAATAGGTGTTATGGCTTTAGGCATACTGGATGATGTGATGTAGCATGCCAGATCACTGAAAATCCTTGCATAATCTGTTGAATATTTTGCATGGGCTATAATGATCAACTAGGGTAACCTCATGATACAGAAGAAGTACTAGGTTGAGTACCTCCTTAACTGAGTTATATGGTCACTGCCCTCACAGAGTAAACCACCTCTGCACTCTGGGCCATTTCAGCAAACTCTGGCATTCAGCTAGGCACTATTATCCAGAGGAATTCTCCTGCTACCCTTTTAAGGACCATCTGCATTATTTGGAACCTGGAGATAGAAGACTTTAAAATTCTCAAGTTCATTAGATTTCCCAAGGAAAAGTTTCCCTTACCAATCTCTGGTAAACTGGCTTCCAGGATTGGAGGAGTTTTGAGTATCTCCTCCAGTGAAAGCAACATAACCAAAAGAAATAGTGGCAGTAACTAGGGTGGTACAGGCCATGGATTCTAGGCACATGGTGCCAAGATGCTGGTTCCCCCAAAAGTGATTCTTCCAAATCCTAAAGTATGCTTGACATGGAGTAAATAAGGTATTTTGTCTTTGTGGGAACCCTTTCCTAGAGAATTATGTATGAGTGGAGCTCCCTGAGAAAAGATAATTCCAGTTCCAATGATGAAAGTTAGGGTTAGTTTAGTGAAGGAGATAGGAGTAAGCCCTGTCATTAAATACAGGAACTACAAAGTTACCTCAGGTCCCATACAAATCTCCTTTCCATATAAAGCCTTTTTTGTTTGCTTGTTTTTTTAAGTGGCCAAGGCAGAAAAGTGTGAAATGAATCATTCTGAAAACTTAAATGTTTTTACTCAACCTTGAAGATTCCCACTTATTAAACTGTTATCACTTGTCTTGCTGGGATAATGTCCTAGAAGGAGAGAGCATTCAGGGTTGCTGTCAGTGCTCTTCTTGAAACGGTACTAAAAGTGGTAACGTAATCTGGCTCCAACATATACCCCACCATGGTGATCCAACACAAACCTTTACTTGGGCCTCCACCACTCAAAACTCCTCTTGCTTTACTGGGAGTCTGGATGGGAAACTGGGAAATAGGGTGGAGCATCAAGGAGCCCCTTCTAGATGAGGAGTCATGCTCAAGGCTGACACAGCTCCAGTTCCTCTCTTCCACTGTGTCTGAAGCAATGAACACTATTCCTGGAACAAAAGCACAAACATCACGCCTGGCTTTCCATGAAAACTACTCTAAAAACAGCCTAGCCCTCACATTGCCTTTCATTGGGTCATCTTAAGTACTTAACAACATACTCTGATTACATCATCTCCTATTTGATCCAAATTCCTTATTTCCTTTTCATTTAGATGCCTCTGAAAAAATCAGATCAACAGATTAGAGTAGGACAAATAATATTAAAAAACACAGACTGGATTTCAAAGGAAGCTGGAGAGAGCTCCCTGTTTCATGACTACAGACTGTTCCTAATCCCAGACAACTATCATAGTATTAAATGTTCTTGTTCAAAAGTCTTGGAAAACAAATGAGGATGAATCAGCGGAAATGCTCCAGTGTTACTAAAAACACAACTCAAGTACATGCTCTTTCAACAGTGAGGATTGTTATTTGTGTCAGAGGAATGTTATGATGCGCTTTTGTGGTTCCAAGTGACCTCAAACCCTGTTCGCGTACCTCTCTACAGCCACATATTTCACAGTTTTGTGGAAGAGTAAAACACTAATACAAAACCTGGCCATTGATGCTTATTTGAACCAAGTGGATTATTGAATATAAGTTCAAACAAACTTTTTAAATATTTTTAAAAGATTACACTACCAAATCACACATTTTCTGGATGGCATGTATAGCATAATGGAGAAGTAAACAATATGAAGTTAGAATTCATTTGAGTCCCAGCTCCACAACCTGCCAGCTGAGTGACTATGGGTCTGCTTTTTGAAATCCATTTCATGTGTCATCTTGACTGGGTCCCCGTGCCCAGATACGTGGTCAGACACTATTTTGGGTGTTTCTGTAAGAGTGTTTTAGATGATACTAGCATTTTTTTCCAGCTTTATTGAGATATAATTGTTAAATAATTGTATATATTTAAATTATACCACATTTACGTAAAGTATATAAAATATACAACAGGATTATTTGATAATACATATACATTGTGAAATGATGACCACATTAAGTTAATTAACCTATCCATCATCTCACAGATACTTTTTTTGTACTGAAAACACTTAACATTTACTCTTTCAGAAAATTTCAAGTATACAATATAGTACTATTAACTATGGTCACTATGCTGTACATTAGGTTGCCAGAGTCTGGGGGGTGGGGGAAATGGGGAGATGTTGGTTAAAGGGTACAAATTTTCAGTTTTAAGATGAATAAGTTCCAGGATCTAATGTACAGCATGGTGACTACAGTTAAGAATATTGTATTGTATACCTGAAAGCTGCTGTGAGAATAGAGCTTTAATGTTCTCATAACAACAACAAAATGGTAATTATGTGAGGTGAAGGATGTGTTAACTAACTTTATTGTGGTACCATATTGCAATATGTATGTGTATTAAATCATCACATTATACATATTAAACTTATACAATGTTGTGTGTCAATTATGTCTCAATAAAGCTGGGGAAAGAATCAGTAGATTGTCTTGAATTTAGCAGTGAACACTTAGAAAAAGAAATGGGAAAATTAATCTATTCAAAATAACAACAACAACAAACCAAAAAAACAAAAGCAAGAAATTTACTTTGAAGATCTTCAGGGCCAAAACAAGAAAAATCCAAGTTCAATGAAAGTTCTAAGTGACTAAAGATCTAGTAGGACATGTTACATAGGTTACAAGTAAAACACAAACAGCATTTTCAAATACCAATCCCAAATTGAAGATCATAAGGTCAAACATCATAAATTACAAGTGTTTTTTATTTTTGGACTACATAGGCAACCCTATACAGTTTATTCTAGAAAAGATAGATGCAGAGGTTAATTTATTCAAATATAGTTAATAATTCCTCAGAGCTAGATTGGTATATTTCTTAGTATTCTATGAAGATCTTTATTAACCAAGCTAATGTCAGCATTATAAAATTCACTGAAAAAATGTTAGCATGTTCTATACTTGGGAGCAGTTAAGATAGTATAGGAAATAGTTATTTCTTGAAATATTACAAGTCCAGATGCTTTTGGGAAAGTTTTTTTTATATGATGTTTCTTCCACAATTATTTTTCTGTCCAAGTTTCCTAGTTCTTGAATCAACCTCAATAATTTGCATTTTTTTCAGAAATTTTCTTGAGACTAAATATTTCTAGTATAGTTTTATATATTATCATTTCTATCTCTTCTATAACTGTTATTATATTCTTGTTCTCACTTATGTAATTGTTGTATATTCATGTACTTTTTATCAATATCCTGGTAATGTCTCTGCTTTAGACCAATACCCGTATCATCTCCATAGATTTGCCTGCTATATTTGTTCTTCCTCTTGTCTTTAACTTTCTTTTTGTTTCAGTTGTGTATCTGATAATGTATGTTTCTAACAAATGGGTTTTCTTTTTTAAACCATCAGAAGAGTCTGCCTTTTACTACATCTGTTGAAACCACTCATATGTATTGGCATAATTTTTGTGTTTGGTATGACTTTTGTCACCTTCTACCACTTATTTCTTAGACTTTCTGCCTAATTTCTTAATTATCTATATTGTATTCCCAAACACACACCCATCCCAGAGCAATAGCGATGTTAGTAAACATTTCTAGGTACTTCCACCCCTTGGTGGGAGTTTTCTACATCTAATTCATAATGGTCTAATCACTCTGTTTTAAACATATATAGGTTGTTTCCTTTAAAACATCTAAAAACAAAAATGAAAAAAAACGTTTTATACCAATACTTAATGTAGTTTTATCTCCCTTGACACTTGGGGTTTTTTTCTTGATTATATCTAATTTATTTGCCTGAAATAAAAGTAATTATGCTGTTCATCCACTGTGCACACAGTAGGGAAAGACAATTCCCAGATATTCACAGCTTCTCCATGCTGTATCAAATTTTTAAATAGCAGTTTCTCATCCGACCTGAAGTCTGTATTTACTAAGGACACACACGAACCTCTCCTATGTCCATCCCCTTATTAATGTTATATTTCAATGAGTTTTTTTTGCAATACAGTTTTTCAGAACACTATAATTTTGACAACACTAACAACTGTCACATTGAAACACTCCCTTCCTTTTTTTTGTTTTCCAGTGACATTGTAGATTACCCCTTTCTCCAATTGCCTGCTCGTGGACCACTTTTCTCTAGGGTATTTGCTGCTTCATCCTCCTCCACTTCTGGATTTTAGTTATTCTCCAAGACGCAGGTTTGGACCTCTGTTCTTTCTGCTCTCTTTTCATTTTCTAACTGATCATGTCTAACAGCTTAAAATTCTGCTTGATGATCCTTAAATACATACATTTACCTTCTTTTTCACATAAGCTCCATCCCCACATTCTGGGTGCCTGTCACAGTCCTAAAATCTAATAATTCAATATTAAAATCTTCATTGATTTCATCACTGTGAAAATACTGATTTCCATTTCAATCATTTTTCTAGACATGAAATTTTGACAATATTTCTCCTTCACAGCTTATATCCAACCAAATATCAAATCCCGATCATGTTTCTTTCACTCGTCTATCCTTTCCCTTGACACTTTGACTTGTCCCTCCTCACCACTGAAATCCCTTCTTTACCAGAGGCCTGTGGCAGGAAGCCAGGGTGGTTCCCAATAGGGTATTAAAAACAACACTCACCATGGGAATCCATACTCATAATTTAATAGGTTCTAAAGCCCTTAAATTACATTTCACAGCTATATATTTTTCAAAAATAACTGCTTTAAAAATATTACTACATATTCAAGTCAACATATGATGAGGTATTATGTCTGACTTTAAGATTATAATAAAATTCCTTCTATTTTATCACCATCTTTGCTCTCTGCCATGCCATTAATGACATTAGAAAGAATCTTCTAAATAATACTTTCTTAACACTGAGCAAAAACCATGTCCAAATGTTTGTGGGATTTTTATACTGTTTTTGATATAATTTTAATATCAATTTTAAATACCAATGCATGATCCTCCTACTGCTCAAGTTTTAAAATAAAAAGAGAGATACAAAAGATATGACAGTGGGAAAAACAAGTCAACCTCATGTCACACCCAAATTATACTTAGTCATAACCTGAAAAGAACACACTTCATGGCAAAAAAAAAACCTGTGACTTCTCTGGATATTTTCTATACATGACAAAAAAGTGAATATAAGTGGCAAGTGGTATTTCCAGACATGCTCATTTCACTTCTGAACACACAAGACAACAAAAGGTACTTTTAATGACTTGTAACAATCACAGTGAAATCGGTTGTTAAAGAAGTATCTCACTGCTGGGTATTTATCCAAAGAACTTGAAAACACAAAGGCATAAAGATACTTGCACCTCTATGTTCATTGCAGCATTATTCACAATAGCCAAGACTTGGAGGCAACCTAGGTGCCCATCAAGGGACAAATGGATAAAAAAGATGTGGTATGTATACGCAATGGACTGCTACTCAGCCATAAGAAATGATTAAATCCGGCCATTTGTGACAACATGGATGGACCTTGAGGGTATTATGCTGAGTGAAATAAGTCAGAGGGAGAAAGTCAAATACCATATGATCTCACTCATAAGTAGAAGATAAAAACAATGACAAACAAACACATAGCATTGGAGATTGGATTGGTGGTTACCATAGGGGAAGGGGGGAGGGGGGAGGGTGATTAGGCTCACATGTGAGGGGATGGACTATAATTAGTTTTCGGGTGGTGAACATGATGTAATCTACACAGAATTCGAAATATATTAGGATGTACATCTGAAAATAAATAAATAAATAAAAATAAGATAAAATTTAAAAAAACTATCTCCAGGAAAACACACACACACAAAACTCTACTCTTGATTATAAGGAATATCAGTTACGATGTTCACAACAACTTGAATAGTGCTGCTAGATAAGACCCTCTGAGTAGGCAAGACAAACCCATATCCAGAAAAGATGTCTATTCCAGTGAGGAAAAATGGCTGGTCCTTCCAGGACGGAAGGGGTCCAGTGTAGTCAAGTAGCTACCA